AATACTGCTAATATGTTGTTCAAAAATCATGAAATTGTTCCATCAAATTATCGATGTTTATTATTGAGACTAGTCAAAGTTCTTGGATGAAATATTTTCCTCATCATTCTCATCGTAGTAATTCCTGTATTATCACCAACTTCATTAATCTACCACAATGAAAGCAGGATGCAAATTGTTCCTAATTTTGTACCAGCTAAATTCTAATGTTTTGCCCGGTTGTTAATATTTTTGCTTTATTGAATGCTTTAATTTTTATACAACAATTTATTAGAACAATAATTATTTCAACGTTTGTTATTATTATTATTATTATTATTATTATTATTATTATTATAATAATTATAATAATAATAAAGGAATTTATTAAATATTTATATAAATTCATAAAAATATAGATGTTTAGCATAAACTGCAATTTGCCCCCTTATTGTATATTTTTTTTAATTACAAAATCCCCCTGGGCATTTTTGTCTTTTCTAGTATTACAATTATTAGAAGAAAAAAAACAAGTAATATATGAGAGTTTTTTTTGCAAAAAGAACCCCTGTGAAATTTACAATTGCAGAAAATGTCCATGTGATAAAAAATATCACTGAAACCCCCCTATAAACTTTTTTCAAATAACAAACTCGACCCATTTGTAATATACCTATTGACCGTATGTGAAAAGACAAAAATGCCCCAGGGGATTTTGCAGTTAAAAAGGTATTCAATAAGGGGGCAAATTGCAATTTCTACTAAACATCTATATTTTATGAATATATATAAATATTTGCTAAATTCCTATAGTTTATTAGAGCAAAATGGCAAATACGCCTATGACAAGAGAGACTTAAATGCATATAGGTCCAGACAAGAAACAGTCTTGCAAATAAATTCATCATCACGTCTTTTGTCTAAAATGCCCTCCATAATATAATTAACATGAATTCCATCAATTATATTCTAACTTCATCAATATTGCACATTGACTCCGGATTTGAACAAGTATATTACATTAACCCCCATTTCATAATTTATAAAAAAAAATCTGAATTTTTTTTTCCGGCCGGATCCTGGTGCTGACCGCGCATTTCTACGATGTTGACTTTTTTTCTCTCTCTCTAAATTACTGTGTTATCAACAAAATTATTATTTGAGATAGTAATATTGAATGCTTAAACAGTAATACTACTAATATTACTGTCTAAACACTAATATTACTGTCCCGAACAGTAATATTATGAATATTACTTTCCCGAAAAACAATATTACTAATATTACTGGCCCAAACAGTAGCATTATTAGATGAGACATAAATATTACGGTTGAAGACAACAATATTGCAGGTCAACACGATAAATTAATCAATACAGTTAAATTACCGTCACCAATAGTAATATTAATTTATGCCTTTAAGCCTAATAGAAATTCTCGCACAAAATAATTTTTTTTAAGAAAAAAAGTTTTCATAAAAAGAAAAAAATCACCGTAAAAAACAGGCAGTTGATCTGTTAGGAAAAAAAAAATTTAAAAAGTAATAGTCAACGGAGGCTAACCAACGGTGGTGGTCAAAATTAGGCTAAATTGGGGTGTAATCATAAAATTGAGGTTAAATTAGGGTTTCAAGAAGATTGAAGTAATTTTGATATATATAAAATGATTTTTCTTATTTGCAAATAAGTTTGAATAATGTGAATTACTGAATTTATTTAAAAGACAAAAAAAGTTAGATGTCTTTCCTTTTTAATGAAGTGATGACATTTATCCAATTTATTATTAGGCTGCGGCTATATGCAATACTCATTCCACTTGTGCAAGACCAAATTAAAGAAAGATTCCAAAAGATTCTATTTTATTAAGATGGAATGACAAGTATGCCCATAAATTAAATTGGCTTTTTTTTCTCATGTAAGACCAAATACAAATAATGAGAAAAAAACAAAAATCGACACCAAGGTATCGAAAAACTATGCTACAAATCGACACTTAAGCGTCGAATTTCATAGGTAAAAATCGACATTGACATGTCGAATTTATAGCACAAATCCAAATGTCGAATTTTATACCTCAAAATCGACATCTACATGTCGAATTTTATACCTCAAAATCGACATCTAAATGTCGATTTTTACCTGTAAAATTCGATCTGTACATGTCGAATTCGTTTGCGCGGGATTTTTTTTTGGAAAATAAATATTTTAGCTAAAAACCCCATAAATGCATACAGAATTGGGTTCTTCCATCTTAGAATTTTCTATTGTGATCTCTTCTGATTCCATACTTGCCATCTTTGTAAGATTTGTTGAGTTTTGATGATTTTGAATTTCTAGGTTTTGTGGGTTAATGGAGGAGGAAGGAGAAAGGTCTTGTGGATTTTGGAAGATGGAGAAGGTGAGAATTGGTCTTGTGGTTTTGTGGTCTTGTGATAGATTTTTTTTATGTTTTTGAATTTTTGGTCTTGCATATTTGGAACTTTTTATTTTTTTAATAAATAAGGGTATTATAGTATTTATACATTGAAAATTTTAATTTGGTCTTGCACAAGTGGAATTAGTCTTGCATATAGCCGCTGCCTTATTATTATTAGAGAAGGACAATTAGAAGAAAAGAAAAAACAAAAAACAAAAAAAACACCAAACAAAGAAATAGATTTGTTATGGTCAGTGCTCAATATCTCTAGCAAACCAAGAAACCCACCGGCAGGAGATCTGAAATTAGAGAAAGAAACTATGTTCCAGAGAATCTTTCCTCCGGCGATTACCCCCAAACCATATACCGCCCAATTTCCCAACTGAGTTATCCTTCTCCGCCGCCCACCACGCGCCACCGCCGCCACAGGTGAAATTGCAGAAACCCTTGTTTCTTTGCTCGGAAGGTGTCGAAGAGAGGAGCAAAATTGGTGGTAATTATATCATCTTAGAAGGGTAATTCTGACTTTTCGTACTCGCGCTATGGGGGGGAAATGACTTTGACTTAAACTCATGGGGGTGTTTTCGTGATATTTTTTATCAAGCGACTTTTTCTGCAGTTGCAATTTCACAATGGGTGCTTTTTGCAAATAAAAACTCTAATATATAATAGGTGTATTGTGCCGAAGAAAGAACATTGCGTGATCAGCTTCGTATCTACGCCACCGTGGCGCCACGTGGACACTCCTTTAATATTTCTTTTTATTATATATATTATATTATTTTAATAATAATAATATACACACGTTAGTAATCACACATATATTATTTATTTATTTATTTATTTTTCTTTTAAAAGGCACAATAAATTAAAGTACAAATTACTTCTCCCCGAGATGAAAGATTCCAATTCTCCTCCGATACAGATTCCCCCCCTGCTTCTCTAGTATGTGTATACACACACACACACACTGTGTGAGAAACAAGAATCTGCTGGGAGGAAAGGCTGCTTTTTTTTTTTTTTTTCTTTATTTATCCACAGAATAATTCAATTCGAAAAGTTTTATTTTACTTTCTCTCTCTAGAAAAGAAAATAAAAAAAAAAGAAGAGGAGAGAGATTTCCGTCTTGTTTTCCGAAAATGGGGAGAAGAAAGCTGGAGATGAAGGAAATCGAAAACAACAGTGCGAGAATGGTTTGTTTCTCGAAGAGAAGAAGCGGTTTGATTAAGAAAGCTAAGGAATTATCTGTTCTCTGCGATGTCGACGTGGCCACAATTTTCTTCTCCAAGAGTGGAAAGCTTTATCAATACTGTAGCACTGACAGGTGAGAAAACACTTAATAATTTATTAATCATTAATTTTTTCCTGCGTATTTTTCTATTAGTGGTTTTCCCCCCTGTTATTTGAACTTAATTTAAAGGTGATATTCAGATTTTTTTATTTTATTTTGTGATTGGATGTGTATATATTATGTTTCTTTTTTTTTTGGTAGGCGAAGGGAGTACATTTCAAAACCCTAGATCTTTTATTCTACACATAGAATTTCAGAGATGTCACAATGATCGACTTTTCTTTTCATTTCTTTCGAGTATTGCAATTATTTTAAAAAAAAAAAAAAAGTAATAAAATTGGATGAAATTAGTACGATGCAAATTAATGTTTGCAAATAAAATTAAATATTTCTTTAATTCAACTAAATTACCTTGAAGATATATCCCCAAGGTTAGCCAAATTATTTAGACAATGCATTTTTTTCTTGAATGATAATATGCTAATATTTAGCTTCATTATATGTCACATTTTCACAGTTGAAGTTCTGGCTTATTTGTTGCATGCATTTATTGAGTAGCATTGGAGTTCTTTTTTAGCATGGAACTTCCTTGCACTAATATCATACTTCTAATACTTCCACAGTCGAGATTTTGATTTGCGTCTTTTGCTTTATTTTGATTTTACATATGAAATTGGGTCTCCATTTTTGCGTCGGGCAGAGCTCCGTGCACGAGGGCCGACGACGTAGAGAAAATTGATCACAAGAGTGTAAATGTGCACTATAGTGATATTAGTCTAAGGACCACGACATGGAATTGTTAACGTGATCAATTGTTTGATTAGTCTCGTTTTCTTTTTTTGTAATGAAAAGGGAATCGCAACCAATCACGGATGCACCAGGTATAACTTTCACTATCATGCAATAGCTTGTAAACCAGACTGGGGATGTACCTAGACTCGGTATAATAAATGTGTGGCAAACTCGACTTGAAAAGTATGTTAGGCATGGAAATTTGAACTTGAGTCATTTCGCTATGTACTTTTTTGCTTCACCGACCGGCCATCTTTTGTTGAGCTTTATTCTCTCATTGTTGCTAGGACTTGGCATGACTTTTGAAGATATAGTTCATAACAATACCCAATAGAGTTCATGCATGTTTTAGTAGGTAGTGTTTGTGTTTCTTCGTTGCTAATCCAATGAATTATTATGAGAACCATAGCGAAATCACAGAGACATGAATTCATGCTAGACCAGTAATAGTAATAGTAATGAATAAAATTAGGAAATAATAGATTGTTCATAACTATCCCCAATATAGTTCATAATATTAGATATTTTTCCTAATATTAATTATCAAAGTGCAATATAAAGACTTATGGTGCTTGCATGGTCAAAGTTGAATTGTGGAAAATGTTCATCTTTGGAGAAGGAAGAGGGAAACATTAAGTCATGAACAAGATAATGGCATAATGCATTTTGATTTACAGTTTGTCACCAGACGCAATTGAAAGAGTAAGTTTCTGTAAGTTTTCATGGAGTGTGCTGAATATATAAATATTAAATGATTTACCTCACTTCTTCTAAAATAAATGAATGATTTAGCTCACTATCTTTGTGAATCATTTAATATCCAACAAAGTGCAAATGATATATGCTCCTTTTACTTTATTTTAGACATCTATTGTGAATCTCAAGGCATTTTAGTATCCTGAGGCTACGGGCAAGGGTAATAAACTCGGTCATAATTTTAAGTTGTCCATAGATTCAGTAGCTCAAATGTTCGAGTTCGTGACTATTTTTTTTAGTTTGTGTATTAGAAATATAAGTAATATATAGTAGCAAATTAAAAGTACGTTTTTGTTAAAATTTTAATATGTATAATAACAAAAACTAACAATATTAATAAAAAAAATGAGCTTAAATTTGAAATCGGGTCTTGATATGATTATGAGATTTTGAGTCGAAAAAGACTCAAATGCTCAAGCTCATCAAAATTGAGTTGGAGCTGGAGCTCACAAAATGTGCCGACCTCCAACTGGAGCTCGAGCTGTTTACACCTCTAGCTATAATAGTGGGAAAATTGTTTGAAATTTTAAAATTGAGAAAGGTGTTTTGTAGAACTTCTATTACATAAACTTATTCTATCACACTCCCCCTAATCATTTTTAGCTAAAAATGTACACATTGGTCGCTCATTTTTGGTCCTCCATGTTCACAGAAAACATATTTAGTCCATCATGTTTCAATAAGTTTAACATTTTGTATCATTTTCGTCAATTTACCATTAATCCGCCAGTTAAAGCAGTGATGAGCACACGCTTAATTTCGTTAGTACTAACGAAAAAATTGAAATCAGTACAAACTTGAGGGATGCAAATTGAATTTTTCCTAAATGAAATCATACATAGTTTAGATTTTGTCCATCAACATTTAAGCACACTAAATTTGAGAAAGGTCATGCACACTAATTTGAAAAACATTTGAATATTCACCTAGATTATTCTATGTATTTGATTTTGGTCCTTGCATAGAGTTTTACATAACAACTTGGTTCTTCGCCTTTACCATTTCGACCTAGTTATTGTAACTAAAGATTGTGGAGTGTTGCATCTAGATTATAGTGGTTATGATCCTCTTTAACATATTTGATTTTGTAGTGAACGTAGTTTTTTCAATTACGCATGTAATTAGATCGTAATTTGAACAATCCAAATAGGGGAATCATTGTTCTAACAATGAAGTTTGAATCAAACTTCTTTCCTCTATAGTGAAGAAAAAAATCATCTTTGGTAAGAACAAACTTGTTACAAGGATTTATTCGTTCGGATTAGGGATTTAGAAGAGATTGTGAGAAAAATCTTGCAAGTTTTGGCATGGAGTTTAACATGAAGTCTAAAGCTCGAGTTTTAGACTTCATGTTACATCAAATGGACGCTCAATGTTAGTTTGATATTTTAGATTCAAAATTTTTATATTCGACAGGGTTATCAAAATATATAAATTGACATTTTGATGCTCCATCTACAAACTATTGTTTGCATAGAAGACATCAAATCTTTAGATTTCCCCCTAAAGTCCTTTGAAACAATAGTTAGTTGCTTCCACAATTTTAGGAAGAAACAATGAAAGTTTAAAATCATTTCTTAGTTCATTTCTACCTTCGCCTAGGCATTTTTGATTGTTTTGATAGACTGGTTTTATGATATTATTTAAGCAAGTTGGACGTTCAACACAATTGATTGCTAACAACTTGGTTACAATAATCTCAATGAGGTTTAGAAATCTTATAATCATCTAGTCACCAAATGTGTGCCTATTCAACTATGCATATTCGAATGAAATTTAGACACATTCAATATTATTAAGTTAAGTTTGAAAATCTCATTCTATCCTCCGATATACGATTATCTCATTTCCACTTATTTTCTCTACCAATTTCCCCTCCATTTCAGTTTTCTTAGGGCATCTCCAACCATAAGTATTATTAAATGATATGCTATATCTTATTTAGCATTTGAATAGTGTTTTATCAAGCCATTTTTACCATATTCTCCAACCATACTATCTATTATTTAGCATTTTATTATATGTTATTGAATAAAGTGACTTAAATGAACATTGAGTTTAATTCTTACATTGTGGGGCCGGAGGTTTGGGTGGGTGGTAACATATTTTAACATTATTTGAGAATACCATTTGTGAATAGTAAATGCTATATAGCTCTTGGTTGTGGGCTTTTAGCTAGCAAGCTAAATTATACCACATCCCTTAGAGCAAGATTTTTGGGTTGAAAATGCAAAAAAAGTTATAATTTAACTTTTAACATCTCAAAACCTCAATGGTTGGAGATGCCCTTAGTACGAACCCCGCAAGACTCTATTATTTCTTGTTTATCTTTATCTTAATTAACAAGTCATGTATGGCAAGAACAAAGAGTAAATCTTGCATTCGAGGAGCAATGACGACATGAAAATCCAATTTCTATTGAATTATGAAGAATCCCGACCATGGCCCCATTGTTATTATAAATCTTTTTATTCTAGCCATTTTCCTTTCTTGTTTTTATCCACTATAAGGAAAAATGACAACTAGTGATACTATAACTGTGACAATATAAAAAATTGTCACTAAAAAGTGCAACATTTGGATACGTTTGTACTTGTGTCACTTAATCCTTTTTATTATCACTACGATAGGAGTCGTCACTAAACAAAGTATATTTCGTGTAGTGATCCTAGTATTCATAATGCAATTTAATTATGTTTTATTTTCCGTTTATGTTTTGTTTAATTATTCATAGGTCATCACGGCCATATTTTCTCAAATTATAGGTAAATTATGGTATTCTATTATGAAATTCATGAAAAATAATTGAAAGATCAAATTATGTGATTTTTGTGTCGACTTTACGTCGATGAGAGAGTTCCATCATATATATCCGTTACGTTAAGCAATAGAAATCTCATTGACATTCAAAAAATGATAAGCGAAGTTCTCATACCATGGTTTGTTGGTCTCTTATTGTTTTGCTCAAGTGTATAAATTTGGGAAGAGTATTTTCTGAAATTCTATAAATTTACGCGCTAATTGTTTCCAAGTAGTGTTAGTATATTAGGTTCTACTGTGTGGCAATATTTAATAGAAGGTTCCCTTTTTCTTCCGGAATAACCTATGCTCGTAACTCCATATTCTAGGGTAACGTCGTTCCTTGTGTTATTATCGAAAGATATATAGTTTGAGACAGGTTTCTCGATTTTAATTCACTAAACACTTGTATTAGCTACTATGCATTATACTTGATACTTTGTTTTACTTATATAACTTGAGTTAAGATCTTGACATTACTATGTAAAAAAAAAAAAAAAAAAAAAACCGCGTTATTTGAAAGGGGCTTCTCGTTTTACTCCATTTTATTTGTGCTTCTTGTGTGCTTCATCTTATTTATTACATGCCCTAAGTGTGAAATTCTTGTTTATTCATAATGGAATTTAATTACGATTAATTAAAATGTTTTTATGACATCAAATTCAGAATCCTAACAGTGTTCTTGCTAGTTTAGTCTGATGAAGTGTTGTTTTTGTCTGCAAGGTGATAGCATCATCTTAGCTATGTATTGTTTATTGATTGAGGTAAATTACACCCACACCCCCTGAGGTATGCTTAAATAACTTTAAGGTCCATGTGGTATCGATAACTACACTCACCCCGTGAAAAGTAGTTAGAAACTCAAATGGGATAGTGCATTGGATCGGATACGTTATTAGATATAGAGCTATGGGTGATTTATGAAATATTGGGGGAACCATCTAAACCCCTTACTATATGATTTAAGTAATATATGCTGAATGCCAATTTCCAATTATATATATGTTTTTTTGTATAGTTATTTTTGCATAAGAATCATGATATAATCTCACTCATTATTTATCCTTGTCCAGAATAGCACCAATCCTGGAACGATATCGAATTGCAAGAGAGCAATTAGGTGCCTCCTCGACTGGATATTCTGAGGCGCCAATGGTGAGTTACGACTTTCATGCACTTACTATTTAACAATACGAAATAACAGAAAATGTTATCCCTATTTTCACGTGGATCAATTAAATATTTATCTAACTCGACATTTCTAACTAGTCGATTTCTAGTCGATTGGTATGCTATATATATATTGTTCACACTTAATCATATGTTTAGCACAGCTATTTGCTCTCTAAATTCTTGGATAATATTTTGGTCATATTTATATATATATTTATATTTATATTACAGGGTCAGTCATCTGAACATCCAGGTTTTATTATTACAAGGAACGGACTACTCCGAAATTTTGCAAGGTAACCGATTTTTTGGTCTGTTTTCTTTTTTTTTTTTTTTGTTATTTATCAACTTTATTTTCAAAATATATTTCTATAGGGATCTTAACGAGGCATGCATTGACGAGCTAAGTGTAACGGATCTTATACTTCTCCAGAAACAAACAGAGGCTGCGCTTATCCAAATAAGTTCGACTAAGGTTTTCATCTCTCCCATTCCATATATTTTTTGTTTCCTTCAAAACCCCCCTTGTGTTATGGAAACCTTGCATCAAATCCCCCTTTTTTTCTTGCGTAAACCCCCTTGTGTTTCGTTTTACTTTGCACGAAATCCCCTTTTCCGGTAAAAGTTAATGCCGTTAACTACAAAGGGGATTTTAAGCAATTTTTTTTCATAACAGAGGGAGATTTAGTGCAGTTTTTCTACAATACAAGGGAATTGTATGCAAATTTTATTTATTCATTTAAATTTCGTATTATTTTCTTAAATTAAATTGAACACATTTATTCATTTACAATATGAAAAATATAAATTTAATAGGTGTTGTGAATGTTTTTTTTAAAAAAAAAATCAATTTTTATATGATATAATTTATTAATGTATTTAAAAAATTTGAGTTTTTAAAATATTTAATTATTATTAGAATTATTATATATTTTTATAATTCATTCTGGATTAATTATATGGGAAAAGAACATAAATAATTTGAGAATTCGTTCCAACTTCCATCTCGACTATTATTTTTTTAGTTTTTTTATTTATTTAAATTAATAGATGTATTCGACTTAATTTAAGAAAATAATTTGAATTTTAAATGAATAAATTAATTTTGCATAGACCCCACTTGTGTTGCGAAACCATGCACCAAACCCCCCTATGTTACAAAAAAACTTGAATAAAATCCCCTTTATAGTTAATAGTGTTAACTATTAACGGAAATGGGGATTTCATGCAAGAAAAATTGGAACACAAGGGGGTTTTATGCAATAAAAAGAACACTGGTGGATTTGGTGCAGGTTTGTCTATAACACTAACACAGGGGTTGGTTTTATGCTATTTACCCTATTATTATTTACATTCTTTTTTACTCTTCACGTAATGCTACGAAGTAACTAACTTAAAATAAAATTATGTATGCATACCCACACAGTTTTTTGTGTGTACGTATCTCTAGAGCGATCTTCTTATTTTTTCCCTCCCTTGTAGGTATATATATATATATATATATATATATATATATATATATATATATATATATATATATATATATATATATATATATATATATATATATATATATATACATTAAAGACAGAGATATAGATAAGAGATGATGGTATATGTGAAAACAGAAAAATATGCTGGCAAAAGAAAAAAGGAGGCTGGAGGAGATAATACAAGTTAGAACTCTACATATAATAAGTTTTAATTAATTAATTACTGATTTAATTATATATATATATTCAACATTATTTAATTATTATCTTAATTCTGGATGCTATTATCAGTCACAGATTCCTGGAATGAATCGAAATGCAAGTAGAAAAAAGAAGAAGATGATTGATCTGGATCTCAATGTTGTTGCAGATGCCTCTGAAATGACCGAATAAATTGGACTCGTTATATATTATTATTATCATTATCATTATTAATAATAAAACTTATCATTTATGTAAAATAACCCCGGCCCGGCCCGGTCCGGTCCAACCCGGCCCGACCCCACCGCCCCCCACAGCATCTTAACAAAAACAGGGTAGAAAATAAAAAAGTCTGTTAATTGATCAATTAATGGGATATCTCTACCTTGTGTATTTGGGAATTGTAATTTTATCTCATAAGAGATAATTGCACTACTTATCCCACATAACTGTTTCAATGTTGTTTGATTTTTTATTTTATTTTTTACCCTACTTTAATAATGTTAAAGCTTAGTTTTGATTATTGATTCATTAGCCGAGCCAGAATTTTAAATCCAGGGGGCCGAATGCATTAAAAAATTATGAGAGGGGACCGTTAATGCTTTCGTATATGGCTTTTTTCTTTTAATATTATCTTTTATAAAATAAGGAATTTGGGAAATGTTGAGGGGTCGTGGCCCCCGGCCCTATGCTGGCTCCACCACTGTAATGATGTAAGAAAAGTGAAAGACAGAATGTGCTCTAATCGAGATGGGAATTCGAACCATAAGAACTTAACTCTTTAAATTTGAGCCAAGCTACTCGAGTCTTCAAGTTTGGTTCTATTATATAAACGAATGGAGCTCAAACGTGTTTTTAATGATCGGTATGATTTACATTGGGGCAACTGGTTCGATCTTTATTTTGATATCTCAAAAACATTTTTTTTTACCATAAATGGACACAACTATGTCCACCCACCATAGACTAACCAATTCTTTTTTATTATTTTTTTTAACATTAAGATCTTACAAATTCACATAACTTTTTTCTTGAATGACTAAATTTTTAATGTAAATTATGGACAATGTCCTATATTCTGCTGGAACTTTCATGATTTCCAATAATTAATATATAGTAATATTAATTAAATTATATGAAAGATTAATTTCATTTATTTACTTGATAATAATTATGAAGTAAATTGAATGAAAATTGTCTTCGTTGAATGGTTAAAGTTCAAAAAATGTGCATTCGATGGGATCCAGTGATACTACTTTTGGAGACATTTAGTAGTTAGTCAAACTATTTGACCTAAAATCCAAATAATAAAATACTTGGCCCAAACTAAATAATTAATTAATTGGCACATAACCAATGAATTTTTCCTACATTTTAAACTCGTTGAAAAGAAAAGACACAACTTTTGTTTGTTCTACTTCCAACCATTGCAACCCTCTACGAATAATGGATCTCTACCGCCTATAAATAAAGGCATAATCTAGCTAATTCTTAATTATGTACGGAATTTAATCGGTAATTATAGATAGTTCTTCATATTCTTTTGTTCCTTCGTCAAAATTTCGTTCGTTGTTCAAGTTCGTCGTGGGTCGAATATTAGTGCAATTATTCAATAACCGATTGTTGTACCTTGAGAGACTACTGGGAAGAAACTGGTACACCATCGGCATCCTAGAAATATTGTCTTAAAGGAATTGCTTTGGCAAGCCTCAATCGATTCTCCGTGTTTACAAATTCCATATTTCCGTTTTCTGTTTTCAAACAGGTAAGTACAAGTTTTTACGCAGATTGTTAGAATTAATCCAACATATCCAACCCCGCGAACCGTATAGATTTTGACAACTAATAGAAAATTTTATAGATGCTTAATCAACCGGCCAAATGTATGTTATATAGATCTATACCTACGTATATATCGTAAAACACAATAAATGAAAGCAAAGCATAATGTAATGTGTTACATACATGCACTAGTAGAAAAATGGTTTTTTACTACGACCATTAACCGTGTTAACCAAAGGTATCAAATTCGTAGTAAAAAGGCTTTTGCTATGCATTTGCTACGAATTTGTCCCGTAGCATATACGGGCTTGACAAAAACTTTGCTACGGTAAATAGCCGTACCAAATACTTTTTTGCTACAGTAAATCCTAGTATTTACTAGGACTTCAAAATTGTTCCGTAATAAAAAAAAATACCTTTTATTACGGCTTTTGACCGTAGCAAACAATTTCGTATTAAAAAACAAAATTTCTACTAGTGATTCGACCCTACATTGAAAGTCGATGTTCTCAAAATTGAGATAAGAAAAAGAGTTAGAGAATTTCATAACATTAGGGGCATTTATTCTTCTTTAGGGAGCACTACAATAAAACTAAATTTTTAAGAGCACACCTTGTCAAGCAAAAGTGAATTTCATAACAAGAGCTTGGTGGAAGTGATATTAATTGAAACTCACACTCCTAGAAATTAAAGAAATACATGACAAGGCTACGAGGGTGGCTCATTTCACCCCTTTTATGACCTATTAGTTGGTAGAGAGAGAGAGAGAGAGAGAGCGACCGCAGAGTCGAACTTCTAGCAAATTCGTATTTAATTCACCCCTTTTATGATTAGGTAGTTTCTTGACCATTGAGTTTGACAATTAAGGCCCATTATATTATATTCCATACTTTGTTTTTACAATGTGTATAGTATATATAACCTGTTTACACTTGTGCAACTCCATCAACCAACTCAACACATGACACAAAAACACACTATCCACGTGTATTTGTGTGCGTGTGTGTGAGAGAGACATCAGCAACAGAACAACATCCACATTCTATACAATGCACCGTCTAGTAGAGCTTGTATACAGGGGCGGAACATGATCAAAATGTAGGGGGCTAACTAAAATTTTGGGGTTCGGGGCAGCGCTTCAAACAAAAAAAATTAGGTTCACAAAACATTGCAAAAAATAAGTTTATATTACTAATTTTTAATTAAAATATCATATATATTATAATTATATCATATTTTAATCATCACAGAAAATTCTAAATTAATTCAAATTATTCTAATAATGAATTGCACTTAATATTTGGGGATTCAAGGCACTTATTTGTGAAGCAATTCGCGCACACACACACAAGCAAATCTGTCAAGTGCTGCAAAAACAAAGGGACATGGAAAAACCTTTTCGTATCAAGGAGAAAAATATTTCTCATGTCATGAATAATACAAAGATTTATAAAAATAAAAATAAAAATAAAAAATAAAAAATAAAATAAAATAAATTGGATGTTTGACAGTAGTTATAATTAATTATAAGCTTACAGAAAAAAGTGGAGTTTAGAGACTTATTTGAAGCTCTTTGTGTGGGCAAAATCATGGCCTGCTTAATTCGTTTAACCAACATTTGCTGCTATCTGAAAGTTGGTTTTAAGTAGAGAGATATATATATAGAGAGAGAGAGAGAAATGATTAATGAGCTATTATATATCTTTAATAAATTAATAAAGCCAAACAGTAGGAATTTTATATTATATTGTATATATATAAATTGGCAATACCACCACAGCATTTCAAAAGGTCTCTCTCTTGCCACTTGACAACGCTAACTGCGTTACACGTGGCAAACTATGGTTCACGACAAGTGTATGATTAAATGGATTTATCACCGCCTCGTAATTTGTGACGCATTAACTTTCTTCTTCTTTGTTGGGCACATAATAAGAACTAGGTTGATCCGAACTACCTAAACAAATATTACAATAATTAACTTATTGTGCATATGATTTTTCTGTTGAATTCATTGAATTTCTATTTACCACTAATGCTCTAAATATAATTCTGTGCGGAAATCGGATAGAACTAATAATTAGTTTTAATAATTATACCAAGATTGATTTGATAATTAGAACTGTGGTAGAAGAACTTTTGAGTCAAATTGACATATGTTATGATAGGAATATAGTTGACAACACCTTAAGTAACTATAATTGAGATTTATGCTTAATATATATGTCTGATTGAATTAAATATGAATATAGTAATTTAGTCTAGAATAATAATTGTAATACACACGGAAGCGGTTTATGATTAAATTAGCATCTCAGGTTAGTAATTCGAGTTAATAGCTTGCATAATTGAAAGGATTTGGGGAATTAATAAACATATATGTGGAAGATAGGGATAATTACAGTTTTGGTTCCCCAAGTTTGTACGTTTTTCACTTTTGGTCCCCCATTTACCGTCGTGAACAAAATACACACTAATGTTGTCACATTTTAACACATTTAGTCCCTTCGTCTGTTTGACCGTTAAGTAGTGACGGTCAACGGTTGAATTTGGGGGTTTTCTTTGAGAAAATTGCAATAAGACCATGTATTCTTTCAAAATATTATAAAAACCTCTAAAATTTTATCAAACCATAATTTAACCCCAATGTCATCAACTAACCAATTTTAACCACTGACCCCGATTTTTCAAAATTTGGTAATCCGACGTCGACTTTCTTTTCAACTCGGTTGACTCTTTTTTCGACTGATCTTTTTTTTTGCCGTTGTTGACCGATGTTGAATGTCGGGTTAACATCGTTGATATTTTTTTTCTTGATTTTTATTTTATTTTTATTAAATTGTTGAGTAATGGAAAAATATAATTTAAAAAAAATTCAAAGTTGATAATGGGCGAGAAAATAATATCATAAAAAAAGTCAAAATAAAGAAAAAAGGAAAAAGTAACACATGACCTCAATGACGGAAAAATTTTAATACAAAAAAAAAAGATAAAAATTAACGGCCGGTGTTAGCCGCAAAAACCGTTGTACTAGAGTGGTTATCTCATTCCAAATTACTCCGCACGTGCCTAATTCATCTTCTTCATATTTTTTTGGGAAGAAATTTAGGATGCACTGGCGCTTCCACGGAGAAAAAATTGAAGGGAATAAATTATGGATTTTAGAATTTTTTTAGATTGTATTTAGGCCCTAGTATTTTAGATAAAAACTTTTTAGAAGTTTATAATTTTAATATTACGATATTAGATATTAATATAGTATTATTATTGTGTTATACAATAATTGTGTTGATTGGGAAAAAAAAGTAACTGGAAAAAGTTTGAAAAAATTCAAGAAAAATAAAAAAGTGAACATTGTTAACCGAGAATACAATGTCGGTGAACGGCGTCAAAAACAATATTAAAAAAAAGTCAATGCCGAAAAAAAAAGTAAGAAAAAAAATCAACGGCGGTCAATGGTCAACGGTAATGGTGGTAAAAATCGGGGTCATTTGTCAAAATTGATTAAATGATGAAATTGTGGTTAAATTAGGGTTGAATAAAATTTTAGGGGTTTTTAGAATATTTTAGAAGAATTCAGGGGTGAGTGCAATTTTCTGTATGAAAAATCCCAAATTCAGCCATAATTCAACAGTTGACCGTTACTTCTTGACGGTCAAACAGACGGAGGGACTAAATGTGTTAAAATGTGACAACATTAGTGTGTATTTTGTTGACGGCGGTAAATGAGGGACCAAAAGTGAAAAA